AGTCCTGATGGACATGCATGTGTTTTAATCAACGAATCATCCATTTCCTTTATGTCTGTGTTCTTGCTGATGGGGAAAAAACCAACCTCCCTGCACTATGACATTCACCAGCTCCTCTGTAGAAAGGGCAGTCCTTTCTCATGCCGTTTTCAGGATTTAAACCTGATGGAACATCCAGTATGAAACAGATGGATTCTTTAGCAGGGAGAGAATGAGAAATGGTACTGACAGCTTTTCAGGGTTTTGTACAACTTCTTTTTGTGAAATTATTTGAGTGTGTTGGTGGTTGAAAACATGGTTCTTTTATTGATAGTAAAAAGTGCGAAAAATTGAGGAGAGGGGGATAGATTATGGAAGGAACGCTGATATTTAAAAAATTTCAGACCCACTTTGACAGCAGCCTGCTCTGTATTTACCATTTACGGCACAAGAGCTACACATTTTGTAAAGACCTTAATGAACTCTTCTTTTTTAAAAACTCCATCCTTTTTCAGTTTTACGTTTTTCAGGTTCTACTAGAAGGCAGAGACTTGAGGGGAATTAAACTGTTGTTGTGTTTATGTTGTATACTGTTGATTTGGGTCCTCCAGTGGGTTTTCAGAGGCAGTTAATCGCACGGGTTCATCGTAGACAGGATTAAAGCAGGTTTCTCCTTGGAGGCAAGGATTCTGGGGCTTCGTCTGACATACTTTGGGCATATTGTAAGGAGGGACAGGTCTTTAGAGAGGGACATCATGCTTGGGAGGGTGGAGGGGCAGCGCAGGAAGGGAAGACCCTCTATGAGGTGGATTGATTCAGTGACTGGGGTAATCGGGATGGGTGTGTCAGAGGCAGTGAGATTGGCACAGGATAGAGCAGAGTTTAGGGCTGTTGTACATAGGGTCGCTATGAGTCGCAAACAAGTCGATGGCACATAACAACAACAACAACAATCGCACGGGAAGAGATTGCCCATCCTTCTCCCACGGAGCCGCTGGAGCCCTTCAACCATGTACTCTCGGAATTCTCAACCATGTGCCTTTGGAATTGCAACTTCTTGCCTCTCAGCCACGAGAGCTGCCTAAATAAAGTGTACAGGACAGCAAATATGAAGATAAATAATAAACTTTAGGGTGAGGATTGAGGTCTTTGTTTTTGCCCTTAGGACAATTTACTAAAACAGCTATATTCTAAGAAACCAGAAGTAAAGGCAGGGTGAGTCTCTGCTGTTCTGGTGCATGGATTGTATTTTTCTCTACATTTGTCCTGAAGGATGAGCAGGTGATTGCAGGATCCCATTTCAAGTCTTAGGGCTCTGCTCATGCTGTCCTGCGTGTCCAGCCTCTCTTGGATCTTGGGCTTTTCTCAGTGAGCCACCTTTCTCCTTGGAGCCTGAACATCCTTCCTCTTCATTGTCTATTTCAGGTCTGAAGGAAAACTCATCCAGGGCAGGCAGATAAGGACCAAGAGAGACTATTGTACATTTCTTCAAATTGCAAGGAAGATTTCAGCCACTGTGAAAGGAGGGTGGGCCAAACATTATTCATCTGCCTCCAGAGTATCTTGTGTTCCTCTCACACTTTGAAGGCCCTTCCTGAAGGGATTTTGTGGTGTTTTAGTGAAGACCTTTGAACTGCCGAGAGCAGAGCAAGGAAATGGTGAGTCCTGGATAAAAGGGTTCTCAGCATTAAATTGCTGCTATAGGATAGGAACTTTGTTGGTTATTTTTTTTCTCAGGGGCATCATTGTTTGTTTATTTGCTTTTTTGTTTTAATATAGAATATGTCATAAATTATAGTTTTTTAGTCGTTATTTTACAAGTTCTCTCTTCTCCCTTCCCCACTCTTTTTCTGCAATGTCCCTCTTGTCCCAGTGTACATATGATGCTTAATGATATATTCCTTTGGGACACTTCTTCCCCTCATCTGATCAGATGGAGTCTTCATTATCTGTCCACTCCTTTGCCACTCACTCTTCCACACCCCTGTATCTGTCCTATTTGATAACATAGAGTAGTGAATGTAATACTTCAAGGAACAAGTCAGAGGTCTGATTCCCTGACTATCATTTGTTCGTTTTCTCATTCTTTCCATGTCATGTTTTGTTCTTTAACCATTGTGGAACATGGTACCACTCTGATCCTGAAGATGTTGTGTGTTTTAGGAGCCACTGTTCCCTGAGGACGTAGTCATCCTCTTCAGCCAGGAAGAGTGGGCTTTGCTCAGCATTGCTCAGAAGAATCTCTACATACATGTGATGATGGAAACAGTGAAAAGTCTGGGCTTCTTAGGTAAAAATAGCATTTTATATCTTTTAGCGTCCTCCCATCACACATAAAGTTTTCCCAGTATTTGAACACTGCTTTTTAATTTGCACCAAAAAAAATTGAAATTCTCTGTTCAATAACACATGGGTGAGTACTTCTCTTTTAGCAGCTACACGTGTATAATTTCTTATTTATGCAATATTCTGTGGTTGTGCTTTTTGTGACATTAAATAGATTCTTTTCGGTAACTCTTGTAAGTGTATACATCAACTTCTGAAGTCTTTTGGGTAGTGGGATTCACACTCAGTTTGGGCCAATGCACTGGTTAATTGTTCATTTGCTTAAGATCTTTCTCATTACTTGCATTACCGTGGAAGAAGTAGGAAAAGACATTTTTTATTTGTTTGTTTGAAAAGACAGCTGTTCCTTGCAGAAATTTTCCTATGGTTTTGTACAGAATCAACAGGAAGTAAACAATAAGGAAAGACCATGGTGAAGTAGACCACAAAGAGAAATCTTTTGCCAAAGGGGTTGAATTCTTCTCTGTTGTTGTGCTTAACTCAGGAGAGGGGCATTCAGTAAATACAAACTAAGAACTGTGTAAACTCTTAAGGATTGCCTTAATGCCTACGGTTGTAAACAATTAAGGATTGCCTTAGTGCTACAGGGAGAATTCCAGCTTGTGTCAACCTCCCTCTTGTTGTCGTTATGTGCCGTCAAGTTGCTTCTGACTCATAGCGACCCTATGTACAACAGCCCTAAACTCTGCTCTGTCCTGTGCCAATTGCACTGTCTCTGAC